CAAGGGCAATCCCGATCCGTACTCCAGTTGATATCGTGCAACGTTCTCGGCCAAATCTACCGAAGCAGTATGTTAGTGAGCTGTCTTTCGGGTGTTCAAGTTGGGGTGCGAGGAGATGTGCGAATTTGCTTTGGATTATACAATCATGCAGAGTAACGCCTAAGGCTGTTCGCCAGTCTCAAGCTACTGTGACGAATAGACAGCTAGTCGCTCGGTACATTCGCCGACAAACGCAGTTTCTACAATGCACGCGTGCACTGGTGGATGAGGCATCACCCGAGTCTACGATACCTCTCGTGGCGAGCATCATCCAACGGGTCCTTTCTGTGACATGCGACAAGTCCTCGTCTACGCACGAGGCGATGCCTTCGGTGGTGCATTTTCATGCACTTTCCTAGCAATAAGTATTCCCTCCGTGCACCAGGGCAGAATGCTTTAAGACCGTTGCCTTTCGACACGCTTCACATGATTTCCGGTCCGCGCATCACGGATTGGAAGGACGAACACGAACAAGAAGACTTACGAATCGATGTAACAGTAGGCTTGTGCTCCTGGCAAAGCGGAGACCGCATAGAGTGCAGCCACCAAAGGCGTAAGTTTGTTACTTCTGCCTGTACCTAGAGTGAGTCTACTTCCTGTGGCACACCAGATGAACTGTAGAACTTACGCATATCGAGGGGTTAGGAACAAATGAGTAACAAAGCCCAGCGAGAAGCCTTATATGGCGTGGGGCAGCAGCACAGCCCGGTCTATAGCGGGACTGGTGTGAACCTTATGTAAGCGCCACGCCCACCACGACACTGGGCGGTGGGGCCTGCCACCTGCCTAACTTGCACTTCGAGCAATTCTGCTCTCATTCAAACTTGCAGTGGCTGCTGTCGTGCGTCGACAAAAACCAGAAATATCTTCATTGCCAATGACTTGGCGGTAACAAAGCTTGCTGGAGGTGTCGTCGCTTCACGTGCCACTCGCCGATAAGCTGACTTGTCTCTGTGCACAGGATGAACAGACTCAGTGCGCGCGATAGGTCTGAGTCATGTATGTGCAGCGGCCATTCAGATCCAGTACCAAGAGGAGTTATTGTAATTGTCTTGGCATGGACGCTCAGGGGGATTTACAACCCACGTTCACACAGCACCGAAGACATGACATTACGATGAATCGGATGTCATGCGCCAGGTTGCCCCTGTAATGCGAACCACATGTGTATGCCTTGACCGAGAGATACTCAACTTTGGTAGGATACGAAGTGCTAATAGCTTCACGCGCCTGGTGGTGCCACTTGAGAAAATTCTCTTGGCTTCACTGTCGTCGCGTGTCCCACGATCACAGCATAGGGCAATGGCGTCTGTCAAGAAATGTAACGATGAGTCATTCACGGAGTTCTACATCAAAACTGCCAACGTGACTTTCTACTAAACTTCCGATGTTTCCGGATCCCCGCCGACCCAACTCCAGAGAGGCCACGAAAGAGCGCATATACGACTAACCAGCCTGTTGAGGTTGTCGCAGAACGAGAAATTTTGTAGCAGTCCTCTTTCTTGGATCAACCGTTGGGGGAAGGGGCAAGGTAGAAGAAGGGAGCCGCGGGGTTGCTTCAAGCTCAGTCTCGCTTCACAAGTATGTCTATTACATCCGCTGGCCGTACAGCTCTTACCAGACCCACCCTATCACCCATTTCATTTCTTCCCTGGTAGCCTCGAGCCCAACCGCTGAACCGTAAGAAGCCGATGCCCATTTGACCATGCCGGAACAGCCCGCCTGCCACATACTGGGAGGATGTTTGGACACAACCTCGAGTCTCAAGTACCTACCGGCCCGTATGTAAGTGGTTCATGACGTACTATCCGCATCGTTTAACTAGTTTGTCGAGAATCTGCCGCGCTTCTTGCCGTCAAGCCGTTCTTCTCCAGCAAGCTTCCGACGCGAAGCCCACATGTGGCATTATCTGGCGTTCAATCTGGTTGTGCACCCATCTTTCTCCGAGTCGCTCGGAGGTTGAGAACTACATAGATGTTGTATGGTATGGTCTCTTTCGGCCATTTGTCTTACACACCGCAGGGTTCCACCGGTGGATTCTCGCATACCGACCGATGCACACCTCCTCCCTCAGCCCATCTCCAAGGCTTGGAACAGCATCGTAGTAACAACAGGTTACCCGCAAACCTTACTTGAAGTGGCCACGTACACCTGACGTTGCACTTTCCCGCTTCGCATGGTGTGCATGGGCTCACAGAATGGGATGCCGATAACCGACCTTTTCCTGTCTGCTACAACTACGAGCTTCTTGCAGGCTTCGGAGCGCTAACCAGGTTCTTCTCTCGGTGAGTCCCCTATCACGAACCTCTCGGTTCTATATACATGAATGTCAAGGCGCTTACTTTCAACATCAGGAAAAGACACACAAAATGGCCACGGCTGGTAGAGTCAGACGGATTTCGGCCATGTTCGGGCAGCGACGAGTTGGAACTGCCAGTTCTGGCCGAGGTGCATGGAGCGGGATGCACTTCAACCGAGAAGCGTCTGCGTCGATAAAGGATGGACATTCTTTGCCCTCATCCATGTCGTCCGGACATATATGTTCATCCATGGCAACCGTCCACGAGAGTGCAAGGCCATATAGTACGTAGCGGGCGGCGTTGAATCTTTACTGTATGTCGTGGGTGTTGTACTGATTGGCATGTGTGTCTAATGGTATTATAAAATATGGCCCACATGCTCGGACAGTCACTATATGTGCCAAGGGCAATGATGATAGAAAATAGAGCATTCAAGGTTATTTCACTGTCCGAGACTATAGTGCAGGTCCAAAAAAAAGTCGCTCATTCGCCATCCGAGTCGCGATGCCGACCTCACCCTCTCTGGACATGCCTGCAACCCCGCCGTCGCCGGCATACTCACGACCGCAGCGCTCTCGCACCCTCGCTATCATTCCACCACACTCCTGTTTGCTCCTTGATCATGACTGCCCATAGCCGCCAATCATGGTGGTGTGGGCGCTTGCGACGCGACCCTCGTCTTCTTCCGATCCCTCTTGCTCAATACTCGCTCCTCCCGCCCTCACCTCTGAGCGCCATGAAAACCCTTCAAACTTATGCCAACATGGAGGGTCCAAAACAACCCAAGAAGCGCTGCCGGCTGCCCCCTGGATGGTGACCGCCCCTGTTCGATGTATGCGGACGTAGGGCGACGCGCCGCTTCGGCAAATGACGTCATCCGTGTCTACCTCACGGTGGTCTGCCTTCTTCGAGATGCTCGGGATCGACGCATATAGTCTGTCTTTGACAGGTCGGGGCAGAACACTTATATAGGTCTTTCTCCCCCGACCTCGCCCACATCCCTTCTCTCTCGTACTCCCTCTTCTGCCCCAACCGACGCGCAATGGCATGGTAAGTGGGCAAGCCTGAGTCTAAAGAGGAGGCCAAGCACGCTGACGACGTAACAGTGCCACGCAGTCAGAAGAGATACCACGAGGAGACCGTCCACACGGGAGCCACATCGTCAGGTACGTAAGATTTCTGAACGATCTCACAAACCTCTCTCATGCGTGTCTCAAGCCGGGGAGGATGCATTGTCCCCAACGCCTTCGGACGTCGAGGGTGCATACTCTTCGGATGAAGAAGAACCTATCACAGATCGACAGCGAGTCACACCCTCGGAATCCGTGTGCCCCTCAATTAGAAGATAGGAAGCAGCCCTACAAAATCTTCAATGCAGACACTAGGGACGCGACATGCACTGTGGCGTCATTGTATGCTCACTTTATGCACCTGTCTAGACAAGCCACTCGCATATCAGACCTGTATACGCTCAACCCAACCGTGCATATATGACACAGACATGTTTCCTGTTTCCACAGATTACTTCCCGTAAGTTAGTCGACAACATTGAGTATTCTTGGAACACACTGACCTTGTAGACCATTTCGTGCAATATGTAACTACACACAGGATTCCCGTTTAGCTCAAGCGCGAGTGCATCCAGCTCGCGCACCGTCGTGTCAAGCTCGCGCCCTGCCATGCCATCAAGCTCGCGTGCCCCGCCGTCACGTCACTTATGTCAAGCTCGCGCGCCCTCGCCGTCACGTCAACCTCGAGCACCATCGGGTCCAGCCCAAGCACCGTCGCACCCATTGCAAGCATCATCGTGTCCACCGCGTCCACCAGCACATCCAGCCCAAGTGCCGTCATGCCCGAGCCCCGCCGCCTCTTTATCCGCTCGTACAAACTTTCCTGACATTGCTTGTGGGTTTTCCATCCGACCGTGTATACTAATCTTGAATGCTGCTCCGCTCCGTGTCTCGACTCTTCTAATCAAATGCTGATCATGTATTCGATATAGTCTCACAAATATTATCATCATTGACGACGGGGAAAGCTCGTGTGCCCATATGCCTGGCTCAGTATGCAGTCAATCCTACTATAAATCATTACCCTCGACCGACTACCCCCTTCCACGATTCGGATCTGCCATGCTTACACCAACAAATGTTCATCGAAACCCTCGTCACTGTCCAAACTTGACCATCTGACTTACCATGAATGTGCTCCGTTGACCATCGAAAGCCCTCAGAATGCACATACTTGTTCATGCTGTAGCTAAGATATGGACGTCGAGGGTCATAGCGAAGCTTGGGTCAGGCCAATGTATGGCCGAATCAAGACTTGTCTGACGTTGCATGGCCGACCTCGTCCATTCCCTCCCTTCGGTCCGGCCTTCGGCTGCCATATTTTGCACGATACACCGTGATTGGGTGACGGCTTCGACAGATATTGGCCACTTTAGGTGCAAACTGGACGAACATGGATGGGTATACAATGGTCGCCTATTGTGGCTATGGACATAGAAGATGGATTTCGTGCGGTGGCCATACCGAGTGCTACTTTCCTGATGAAGTTGCTGCGGCAACCTTTTTGTGGTGCACAGTGGTTCATGTGCATAGAGTAAATCGATTATGATCTATTTATACTACCAATGACTCAAGAGCTGATTTACCTTATGCGCGCCTAGCTCAATCGGATAAAGCGTCAGACTCTTATTTCCGTTCAACTTATCAATCTGAAGGCTGCGAGTTCGACCCTCGAGTTGGGCTACTGTATTGTTTGTTCGTCGTGGTCGAAGTTACTTTGTGGTTAACCAATGTGCATGGCCGTTCCCTTCCCCTATTCCATAACCCCCTTGTTATCTTCTCGTTCGCTCAATTATATTGAAGTCGAACCGTGTCACCTGTTTGCTGCTTATGGGTATCGACAATGAGAACGTCTGCCTCAATGGTGCTGATACTTTCGAGTCAGGATCTGCCGAAGACATCCTGTAACACAGCGAAGGCGAGTGCCTTACCGATCAATTCATTACTAAGTGCCAGATATTTCAACTATTATAACGGGGCGATAGAAGCGAAGAGATCTCGGCTATGATGTCTCGTTCTTCAGTATATAACAGAAACCAGTGGGTCCAACTGTCTCCTCCACAGGATCTACAAGCTTGCCTCAGACAACCAAGGGCCAAGGGACGCTTAATGGTGTTCAAGTCTTCAAGCCATAAACGCTCAGCAAATCACGGAATGAAACACGTGTTTTAGCGGAACGCATTCACCTCCGCTCGTGCCTGAAGTTTGCAACCCAGCGCTCCGCACATTGATCGCGTCTCGCTCGATGTCCGTGGCCGGTCGTCTCCTAAATGACAACAGAGGCTGACTGCGCCCAGCACTGGCCCGCCCTCTCTCCTCTGACCCACATCAGACCGTCAATGCGAGACGGAGGGAGAGCACACTCGCCTTCAGAAGCTCGATAAGCGGCCCGGATAAGTGTGCCTGCGCCACCGTTGATCGACACGGACGTGAGAGCAGAGCTCAAGACGGGCTTCCCAACGTTATCGGCCCAACACCCTCCTTGACTTCTGACCACGACTTGCACAACACTCGCGGACAGAATAGCCAGGCGCAAGGCCAAGGCGCGCGCTCTTCAGCCATGTCGGAGGATCACGCGAGTATCCAGGATGTGCCGAGGGTGGGGCCGCGGTATCTCGAGGTGAGCAACCTTGCTTCTGGCATATCACGACTTTGCCGTCCGCATGTGCGTTATATGGGAGGCGGCAGTCAAACTGTGCAGCGGACAGAAGCCTGGAACGTTGATGACCAGCGCCCTGCACTCTCTGCACTTCCATCATCGGAAACCTGGACGTCCATAATCTATCGAATGGGCAAAGATCTCCCTTCCCCGGGCCATTCATTTCATCCACAACATCTGCTGGGGCTGTTAAGCCCAAACACCTTTCCCTTCTCGCGCCGCTTTGCACAGCCCTCGACCGCAGAGGCAGCACACGGCCGTGTGGACGGTAAATGGTATCGCCGGAGTGGGCTATCTTCTCATGAGCTGCCAGCTTGGACCGATTCTGCACCTCCACATGGTGCACTGGTCTTCCGGCCTCTCACGCAATTTATACCGCTCATAGCGCGCAGATAGTGACGGCGCCGCACAGCGATGTGCTGATTACATCCGTCCACCCTCGACGTCCGCGGCCTTATAGTATCACCTGAATTCCGCTGAGCTCGCTTGCTTCTTACCTCAGGTCCTTGCCCCCATCATGGCGTCTGGGTACCTCGACGAGGAGATGCAGTCGGTCGGCTCGTTGCAGGAGAAGCTGGCGGCGGATGCGGAGAAACTCCCCGGTAAGCGCGCTCTCTCTTCTGTTGTTCGAGTTCGCGCCTACCCATCGAGAATCACAGGACCCCACGATCCCCACCAGCACTATGTGTATACGGAGCCAGAGTTCGATGACCCGAACTTCGACCCCGACGTCGTCTTTCTTGGTGAGTAGACATTGTTCAATGTGGGCGACAGAGAAGTGTTGAAGATGCGCGTTGCAAGACGATGATTCGCCCTATCCCGAGGTTCGCTCTGCTGTGGCGAACACAGATGACCCCGACATGCCGGTCAGCACTTTACGTGCTTGGACCATCGGCATTCTCTGGGCAATCATCCTTCCTGGCATGAACCAATTCTTCTTTTTCCGATATCCCACTGTCAACGTTACTGGGGTAAGCGTGATATTCAATTGCATGACATCATCGAGTCCTCAAGAACGCTTAGATCACTGCGCAACTGCTGTCATATCCCCTTGGTCGGCTATGGGCGTATGCTGTCCCTCCAGTGAGGATCTTCGGTGTTTCCCTGAATCCCGGACCATTCACGGTGAAGGAACACGTCTTGATCACTATCATGGCGACGGTTGGATACTCATCGGCCTATGCGGTAAGTCCCCTCTCGCTTAACCACACTGCCTGTTGAAGCTAACGTCGCTTGGGACAGACCGACATCATCGCAGTCCAACGAGTATTTTACAACCAGATCTTCAGTTTCGGGTACCAATGGATGGTGGTCATGTCCACTCAGTTGGTATGTTTCTGTATCCCCCCAGTCCGCTCTCAGCCTCAGCAACTCACTCTGCCCACAGATAGGCTTCTCGATCGGTGGCATAGCCCGACGGTTCCTCGTCTCGCCACCATCCATGATCTGGCCCACAAACTTGGTCACATGTGCGCTTTTTAACACCCTTCACTCGCAACAGTATGCCGGCATAGGCAACCGCGGCGGTCTCTCCCGTGAATGGTTCTTCCTTTACGCCTTTCTCGGCTCTTTCGTCTGGTACTTCTTCCCTGGTTACATTTTCCAGGCCCTCAGCTACTTCAACTGGGTCTGCTGGATTGCGCCGGATAACGTCGTCGTCAACCAACTCTTCGGGTACTACAGCGGACTGGGCATGTCGCTCGTCACCTTCGACTGGTCGCAAATCGCGTTCACCGGCTCGCCGCTTGCGACGCCGTGGTGGGCCGCTGCTAACGTCGCGGTTGGGTTCGTGTTCTTCTTCTGGATCCTGACGCCCGTCCTATACTACACCAACACGTGGTACTCGAAGTTTATGCCGATATCCACACGGACGTCATATGATAATACGGGCAAGCTGTACAATGTGACACGCATCCTGACTCCGGAGGCGACACTCGATATTGACAAGTACAAGAGCTACTCGCCGCTATTTCTCTCGACGACGTTTGCGATGTCGTACGGGCTGTCGTTCGCAAGCATCACCGCGACGATCATGCACACACTCTTGTACTTCAGGAAGCAGATCTGGATACAGAGCAGGCGGTCACTGTCGGAGCAGCCGGATATCCATGCGCGTCTTATGGCGAGGTATCCGCGGGTTCCGGATTGGTGGTATTCAGCGATTTTCGGTGCGTAGCGTTCGACCGATGATATGCAGTTCTGTGGCTAATGACCGAGACGCCAGTGTCGATGTTCATCTTCGGGGTTGTCTCTATCGAAGTATGGAATACCCAGATGCCCGTGTGGGCCCTTGTACTCGCGTTGATTATCTGTCCGTACCACCTGAGTATACCCGCGCCCGTAGTTGCTGATGGCTTCGTCCCCAGCGTTCGTGTACACCATCCCTGTCGGTATGATCCAGGCCATCACTAATCAGCAGATCGGTCTAAAGTAAGATCCTGACCTCACCGTATAGCTATGTCTGCTCACTAGGATCCAACAGTGTCATCACGGAGCTCATCATCGGCTACGCACTCCCAGGGAAGCCCATAGCAATGATGTTGTTCAAGACTTGGGGATATGTCTCCATGGCTCAAGCATTGCAGTTCACCTCGGACTTCAAGCTCGGCCACTACATGAAGATCCCGTACGTCCGGCTGCGCATCGTGTCTCATGTGCTCCCTGACATCCTCCCCACAGACCCCGAGCGATGTTCTGGTGCCAAATCGTGGCGAGTGGGATCGCCGGCACGGTGCAGCTCGGCGTCCAGACGTGGATGTTCGAGAATATCCCCGACATGTGCCACGTGGACCAGCCCAACCGCTTCGTCTGCGCGTCGACCGAGGTGTTCGGGACCGCGTCCGTCGTCTGGGGCGTCATCGGGCCGCAGCACCAGTTCTCGCACGGGCAGATCTACTACGGCCTCGTCTACTTCTTCCTCGTCGGCGCGATCTGCCCGCTCGCGGCGTACTTTGTGGGCATCCGCTGGCCGAACTCGTTCCTCCGCTACGTCAACTTCCCGGTCATCTTCAACGGCACGAGTTACATCCCGCCCGCGTCCGCGGTCAATTACGTCCCGTGGACGATCGTTGGCTTCCTATTTAACCACGTCATTCGCCGGAGACACTTTTCGTGGTGGACAAAATACAATTGTGAGTGTCTCTCTGGGGAAGGGGAGGGTTGTTGTCTTGTGATGTGTCTTGTCTTGTCTTGCCGTGAACTGACGACTTCCCCGCGCACGGTGCAGATATCCTCTCCGCGGGGCTGGACGCCGGCGTCGCTATTGGGATCATCACCATTTATTTCTGCTTACAGTATCCCAACAACGGAACGATCGGCCAGCACACAATACAGGCGTGGTGGGGCAACGGCGTGCACACACGCACGGCCGACTACGGGCACAGGGGGTCGGGCACACCTCTCTCCGCCGTTCCGCCTGGGGGCACGTTTGGGTGAGTTTCTGAATTCTAGTTACCTCGGCACTCTCGTGTTGACGGAACGCTGATAATGGCACGCCAGACCTTCGACGTGGTAGAGAGAGAGCCTTGATTGTTAGACTTATTATGTAAGGAGTAGTACTAGGTTGTATCATGCTGCTTTCAGTTATCGGTCTGCTTTGGATACCTGTTGTACTTGTTCGCGCTTACATTATTAAGTCCACCTTCTGCCGTTCGTTCTCTTGCTCAGCGACGGATCGATCTGCATGCGACGGCGATGCCGATGACGATGCTGAGAGATGAGAGAAGGAAGGAAGCCACGGCACGTTACATCCATTCTATAACGAGTGTTCCTTGTAGTAGTAGGCAACAGGACACCGAGAAAGCGGAACGAGCAACCAGACCCGAGCCAATGTCCTTGAGAACAACCCTCTTTTCGACCAGTGTCCGTGTCCATGCGCGAGCTGCTGCGCACGCGTCCTTCATACCGTACCCGACGCAGTCACGACGACCCGCGTCTTTGGACGACCAGAATCGGAGCCGACAGCCTCGATCTTCTTCACGACGTCCATGCCCTCAACGACCTCCCCAAACACGACGTGCTTGCC